CGGAAATGGTTACAGCTTTAACTGGTTTCAAGGGGGTAGTCGGCATATTCTAGTCTTTCCTGCCACACTAGAATGTTCTTGCTGTTTGATGCTGTCATTGGATGGGCTATGAGGTAAAAAGCAAACATCAATGGCTAGAAGCACAAAGACAAGTATGCACGTTCATTGTTTATCTTGATATTTCAGTTGCAATACGGATAATTGCTACCGGATATTTCAAAATGTAGTTCACTGAAATTGGGGTCATTCTAAGAACCACAGTTTTACTTATTCATTTTGACTATATCAAACTTAATTTTTCTTGTTGTCCGGATAATCTATATAAATATCTACAGTAGTCAACATTTGAAGTGGATGAAAAAAAGTTTATCAATGTTGTCCTAAGACAGTGTTTCTCAACCCTGGTCCTGAGCGCCCCCCAACACTGCACATTTTGTATGTCTCCCTTATCTGACACCCATTTCAGGTCCTGGAGTTTCTTTTAATGAGCTAATGAGTTGAATCAGGTGTGTTTGATTAGGGAGACACACAAAATGTGCAATGCTGGGGGGCGCCCAGGACCAGGGTTGAGAAACACTGTCCTAAGTCAAGAACACATTTTGTTTTAGGTTTTAGGACAACTTTGATGAAAGGTATTGATCCACTTCAAATGCTGACTAGTATATATGTCTACACACACACACACACACACACACACGCACAATAAAAAAAAAATACATTGACATAATATATATATTACAATTATATTGATCTAATTAATGTTTGCTTTAATTTTTGATGTTTTAAGTAAAAAAAAGTGTATTGAAAGTGTATTTTTTTCACATTTATGTGAGATTTATTCAAAGTGTTGTAAAGCAAAAGCACATTTTAGTTAATTATAAAACCAGACATCCATGAAAATGAGATACAATACAATTACCAATTTCTTGACTATCTAGTTAATGAGGTACGCATTCCAGCTATTTATATATTTATGGCACATTATATTTATAATTTTTAACGTTTGGCACATCAGCTTCCGTCTCACAACATAAAAAACAAATGAAGAACACACTGTTAATATTTTGCTGAATTGCATGTGCTTTTCCTTTTTTTGTATGTTATTTAATTTAAATACACATTTGATATTGTGAATGTTTAATTTAACTCTCAAGTGTCACAGACTGGGTCAAACTGGGTCCCGGTCCACTCTGGGAATGAGATCTGTGTTGGGATTGGGAATGTTGCGAGAGGAGAGCCAGGTGTTCCTCTGCGAAGACGCTCTCGAACACCATCACCAAAGACCGCCTGAGCTTTTTCTGAAAATCTTCACACATGAATACATACAAGAAAGGATTCAGGCAGCTGTTCAAGTAGGCAAGACTGACTATGAAGAGCCCTATCTGGTCAAAAACATTCTTGAAGTTGGTCAGCTCTACTGATGGGTTTGTCGCATTCATTTCATGCAACGTCACTTCGAGGAATCTGTGAACATAAAAGGGAAGCCAGCAGAAGAAGAAGGCCAGGATTACAGCTAGGATAATACGGAAGGGTTTTAGTTTATTGTCTTTCCGGAGGCGCTTAACTCGTACTCCGATCGCCACGTAAGAAGCCAAGATTATGACAAACGGAATGAGGAAACCCACTACAAAACGGAACACAACCACCCTCTTGTAGGCTTCCAGTCCCGAAAAACCAAGTATGCACACTGTTTGTTGTGGAGAAATGCGACGCGTTTTTCTAAAGATGACACAAGGCAGGGTGCAAGCAACTGCTGCTAACCAAATAAGCAGGCAAATTATCCTCGCTTTCAGGACGGTTCGTTTAGTCCGGGCCCACACCACCACCCAGGTGGACAGGCAGCGGTCCACACTGATCACCGTCAGCAGGAAAGTGCTGGCAAACATAGTCAGCACGGTCACCAGGCTACTCAACATGCACCCAAAGTCACCAAAAGGCCAATCCAAATCACGATATTCGTAAATTACATTAAAGATCAGGAAAAATGAAAACAGGAAGTCAGCTACCGCCAGGTTCAGAAACCAGATGGTATTGACGGTCCTTTTCATTTTGAGGCCTGCGATGTAGATGACCATTCCATTTCCAGCAACACCAAGCACACATATTATGCAGTGGAGGAAAATATTGATGTTCTTTAAGTATTTCACTGTGGCAGCTGTGCTGTTGGTTGATGTGGCTACGGTTTGGTCTAAAGGAAAAAGAAAAAAAAAATGAATAGCTAGAAACTGTCATGGTCAGTCCAAAGATGAAAGCTGATTAAAAATACAAACAAGGAAAAAAAAACAGGCGTAACAGTGTGAACTAGCCACAAACAACAACAGACATCTGAAAGGTGAAATAGAGCAACTTAAATACAGGGCAAATGAGGGACCTAATGACAAACACCTGTGATATTTAAATGAATATCCATGACATCTAACATAAAGGACAATAGTAACTAATGAAAACAAATTAGAAGTCCATGAAAAAAGAAGCTAAGACAAAATAACTGAAAATCGGTGACAGAAACACATAAAAACGAGTATGCATATTCATTGCTTATCTAGATATTTCATTAGAAATTTGGAGGATTGCTAAAGAATATTTCGCAATGTTGTTTAATGAAACTGCTGTCATTTTAGTCAGAAAAACAGCTGTACTTACTCATTTTGGCTTTATTTGTTGAAGAGGCTGAAAAAATATAGACAAAAAATTATTAACCAAAATCTCTATCTGTAACTGAACATAATCAACATTTCAGCTTAAATTTGAATAATTTTCAACATACATAAGGTGCTTCGGGTGATGGTTAAGGGCTGTTAAAGGCACAAATTATAACCAATTGAATTCATTCGGAAAGCATCAAGGAAATAAATGTGTGAAAACTAAAGAAACTAAGTAAGAAACCAAACAAACTCTTTAAGAAAACCAAAATAATGAAAGTGGATAAATGAATAAAAAGATATTGCAAGAAACGTTAAACCTGCAAAATATTTAAACTAAAAAGAGCTTTACGTAAAAGGTCAATAATCTTACCAGTTTTCTGGGTAGTACTGCGAGTTGACTGGACTAGTCACTACTGGTTCCTAACACTTGGCTAAATATCTTCGAGAGGATGACTTATTCACATTGACAGGAAACTTAGAAATCACGTGCAGAGGCAATGCTTTCTGGAGTCTGTCTAAGGTCACTTTGTAATGAAACAATCCAAAACTTATTAGTGGGACATTTAGATGTTCAGCTCATTCTCAGTAAATCATGCCATTTTATACCACGTGTCGTCGTGACTTACTATGGACATAATTATAATGAATATCTCACATTTCAATATGAGTTCATCATGTTTGCTGTCCTGTATTTAATATATATATAAGACATATAGTCTCCTTAATCAATTGTAAGATAACATCCTCTATTTTGTTTCTATTTTCCTCCACACATTGCTTTCAACACCTGCTTTAGCTGCATTCGCTGTAAAAGGAATAGTATTTCAGTAATGTCAACTGCTCAATGCATTGTTGATTTGATTTCACAAACACATGTCAGACTTGGTAATATATAGTGCTTTTGGCTCAGGGCTGGTAAACAGTGACAGACAGACAGACAGACAGAGAGAATAGGTTTAATGTTGTGACTGTGTTTTATGCCTAATAATAACGGTCAGACAGAATTAGCATATAAATTGCATTAATAAAAATCTGAGGAAGACTACAGATAGAATGTTTCAGACAGAATATCTTCAGTTTTGGTGAATAAATAAACATTAGCAAAATAGATAATAGCTCTTTATTAACAGTATTACAATGTGGCTAAAAAGGTTGTGTAAAACAAGTCAGTGAAAATATTATGTAAAACTGAAAGCTATCTTTTGAAAATATTTCTACAAAGCCACTTTAATAAGCAAAGTCAAGTATAAAATAAATCATTTGTAGGTTTTCCACAAAAAGCATAAACAACACAAAACAATTTTCAACCCAAGCAGCAACACTGTCCTGACCAATGGCGTGAGTTTGGGGCGTGGCTATCAGTTTTTCCAGCCAATGGAAAATGGGGGCATGTCAAAGTCAACAATGAAAAGTCATTGTTTTTAGTTTGATGACAATGATGGCACATAAATTGCAGCATTTAAACCTTCAGATTGTCTTTAAAGCAATATGGTTTTGAACCTCTGGGATGAGATGGCATCAAGGCAGCGATGTGGAGAGCTTGCTAATACACTTTATCAGATCTCTTCAGTCTAACATGGGGAATGAATATCTCTGAGACTGATTTTCTAACAGCATGTATTGCTGTCCTGGCCGCTGCCGCATGACGAGATGGTTGTTTCGTTTGTCTGGTTGAGACCTTTTGATTCTGAGAGATGTGAACATGTGGAAGAGCGAGATGTTCGGAAAGGCAGATGATCCTCAGCAAAAGCCGTCTCCAGCACCAGCAGCAGAGACTGTTTAAGCTTCTTTTTAAACTCCTCACACATGAACACATAGAGAATGGGGTTCAGACAGCTGTTGAGATGAACCAGGCAGTTAACGAATGGACCTATTTCAATGAATACTTTTTCAGCGTCACGCCACTCATTTTCCTTAGCAATTATGTAAGACAGTTGTTGAACATGTAAAGGAAACCAGCATATGAAAAAGGCCAGGATCACAGATATAATGACCCGGAAAGGCTTAAGCTTCTTTCCTCTTTTGAGACGTTTGGCCCGCACTCCGATAGCAATGTATGAAGATGCAATGATCAGGAAGGGGATGAGAAAGCCCACTATAAACCTGTATATGAACAGAGACTTTGTGATGTTTATAGGGCAAACATAGGCGCATTTTTTGTTCTCTCCTGAGCGGCACATGACAAATGGGATGCTGCAGCCAATGGATAAAACCCACATGAGTGTACAGATGATTCTGGCTTTGACCAGAGTTCGTTTGTTTTGAGCCCAAACAATCACCCAGGTGGACAGGCATCGGTCCAGACTGATAGCAGTGAGCAAAAAAATGCTGGCAAACATGTTTAGCACTGTCACGAAGGATACAAACTTGCACATGAAGTCACCAAAGGGCCAAACATTCTTGTTAAAGGCATGAACAATGTAGAGGATGATGACTAAGATGAAGATGAAGTCTGCAATCGCCAAGCTGAGAAACCAAATGGAGTTGACAGTCGTCTTCATTTTGTAGCCAGTCACATATATGACAAGCCCATTTCCAACAATACCCAGAGCAAAGACGACAAAGTATATGAATATACTGAAGATTTCAATGCTTGAAAAATCTGTCAGCGTTGAGTTGTTCGACTGTTGATCTGTGATATTTTCAAATCCCAAACTGTTGTTTGCTACACAAAGAAAAGAGAAAGACAATGGTTTATGAGATAAGTAACATTTCTGATACTTTCCTTTGAGTTTTGAATTGAAAATTGAGTCTACTAGAATGATTTGTTGACAAATCCAACTGATATAGTTTACAAGTTCAACTCACTGAGTTCACTCAATGATCCTGTTACAGTGGTTAACTATGGAGACCCATTTCCGCCACCAAATAAAGTAAAAATAATTGCAACTTTTTAATCTCACAATTTGGACTTGATTTTCTTGCAATTCTGAGAAAGAAATCAGAATTTTCAAGATATAGAATTGCGAGATATAAACTCAGAACTGCAAGATAACATCACGAAATTGTCATTCCGATTTTTTTTCTGCCGCGGAATAAAAAATAATGCAATTGCAATCTAATAAATTTGAATCTTTTTATTTTACAATTCTGACTTTTTTTTCTCTGAATTTGTTAACGTCTCGCAATTCTTAAATTTTTTTTCTCTCAGAATTGTGAGTTGTTTATATCTTACAATTCTGTATTTTTTTCTCAATATTGCGAAGGAAAAAAGCCAGAATTGTGCGATAAAAAAACTTGCGATTCCCTTTTTCATTTCTTTTTTTATCCTGTGAAACAAACTGCCATTGTTAACCGCTCACTGGAAGGAAAAATGGTTAGTAATGATTTTCAGTTCTGCATAAAGCTGTTGTATGTCTTCAAAATATGCTTTCATTTTTTTATTATTACAGCTCTGATTTTTAGTATGAATCTTATTATTGTTCAGTTAGAACTTTTACACATTTCCAGTCAACTGTAAATCATGCTCAAGATAAAATCATGTTTAATCATCTATTTGTCAAAATTATGGGGAACAAATGTTTGCAAATTGAGAGGTTATAATAGTTACTCATTCTTACACCAGGGGGCATCATGTCCTATTTAATTATATTAATTACATTACATATAAAATACATAGTGTATATCGTAAATTATTTTGTTTTAACACAAAATTATACTTTTTCTTAAACCTTTTACTTTTAACCCAACTAAGTATTTTTTGCTGTCTACAGCTTAAATTACGGCTGTTAGATGAAAAAGACTGTCAGCAAAATCTTGTTGCACAATTCACATTAACCATAAGACCTCAAAACACTAGCCAGTATAGAACAGGCAAGGCTGTAACTCATAAACAATATTTTATTGTTGTTCTGAGTGCAATACTGCTTGCAGCCAGTTTTGCATTTAAGCAAATCATTTTTGCATTAATAGTTGCCAAATGTTGCATCCTGTATGACCATAGCTTTTTAACCACTACTGACTTGCATGGCACGCACCGCACGTTACTGAAGTTTCAGAAACTAATGCATGATTATTTTTAATATTTTGTTTGTCATTTCATCTTAAAATAGGGTTTCACACTAAGGAACAACAACAGGTACAGATGATGAGATGGTTTTTAGATGTCTGTTGGATTAAAGTCTAAGCTTTCGTTTTAATGCTGCTTAATCTTGATCAAATCAACCATTCAGAAGAAGTTGAGATAAAGAAACCCAACAAAAGGGGTGGAGGAATCAAAAGATGCATGTCATTTCGAAAAACAGCATTAAAGCAAATATAAAATGCCCACATCACCCGGTTCTTTTCGAAGAGCATCACATCTGTCTCAGTAAAACACAAATTTGCCTGCTATATAGGTTTAAAAAGTGTATCAAACAGGAATATTGCATAGATAAAGGTTCTTACCCATTTTTAGTCCTCCCCGTCTGTCCTTCCTTCAAGTGTGTTATCAAAGCTCCCAACAACGTCTTTGCATGAACAATTGGTGGTTATTTCCCCTTTACTTATTGAAAGAGAGAGTGGGGTGGAGTGATGATGCAACAAGGGAACTATGCTTCTGGAGAAAACTATTTTGAATATCAGCTTTCAAAGGAGAAAGTCTTCCATGGAAACCCAAAACAGAACCATGATTATAACTGTCTATTAACATAATAATAATAATAAAAAAATCCTAATATCAAAAATCGAAACACTTATAACAACAGCAGCCAAAAATGAAGGGGACAGTAGATAATTCATTCTGCATTTTGGCATTGGTGTTTTGAGCCTGAAATGCAAATTTGACTGGCCACATTCTATTTATAATATAGTTTATCTTTTTTTCTGAGTGTTTAAAAGCAGTACAGATGGCGCCGTCTAGAGGCCTTTATTTTCTTTCTCCTTATTTGTAACTCACTTTGGTTAAAAGCATCTGCTAAACGAATACATGTGGACCTATAAAAAGGCAGGCCTTTTAAGCCATTCAGGCCAGTTTGTCATCTATCCATCTTCAAAATGGACAAAAAGCACCTTAATGGCTCCATATGGCTCACTAATAGTCCTCGTAAGTCGCACTGTATGGATACAAGTAGGCCTACTTGTATTATGATACAAGCAAAAACCTGATTTGTATACTGGAAAAGTTATATGCCTGTGCCTAAGACCCCAAATTATTATTTTTTTTAAATATATGTATATATTGCAACTCTTGCGTCATCAGAACAGGGTGTTCAACACACCACCGTTTCCGTTTAAAAAACGTTTTGCACCGTTTTTGTCGGGGCTGAACAGCCCAGATCTGAATCAAATGATTCGTGATACGCGATCCGATTGGAGCAATTCAAAACAGTGAATCATTTTGCGAGGCAATGGTTTAACTGATTCGGAGTTTCAAAAAGCTCCGTTGGTACTGTAAAATGTATGTTCTTTGCTCACTTTCCTATATAATTTATTCGTTGTTTGAATAACCATTGAAATTAATTAATCGGCCTAATGTTTTTATTAAATTGTGATCACGTTAAATAGCCTACAGTTTCAATCGTATTAAAAGATTTCGTGACATGACACACATTATCTGGTAGGCTACTTGTTTAAAAAGACGGGTTTATGATGTGCTTTGTTAACAGATTACACTAACATTATACTTTAAAGCCTTGCTCTGAAAAAAAAAAGTTTTCAAAATCACCCCCCAACACCCTATTAACAGATTACACTAACATTAGGTTACTTAGGCTATAGCCTTACCCTTACCTTCCACCTATGGAGAGAGAAAAAGTTTTCAAAAGCACACCCCCCCCTCTGCTTTTTTCACAAATCGCACCCTGTATAGGCCTACATATATATATATATTATTTTAATTAGGGGTGCACTATATTATCGAAATATATTCGATATCGTATGATATAGCTTAATGCCATAGTCATATCGCGAAGGTTGCGATTTAATATAAAAATACCAATGCGCTGTAGTTCGGAGTGAAGCGGGTAATGTGTTCGAGTGCAGCCCATGACACGCAGCGGCAGCGCTTCACTCTGAAACATGCAGCACATTTATTTATTTGCTGGGAAACCACCAAAATAAAAGCAGTTTAATATTTGAATTTGAGCAGAGATGCACCGATCGACCATAAATCGGAACCGGACGGTTTTTGTTTATTTATTTCAGAGTCTGCAAACTCAAAGAGGAGAATACATTAGCAGGCAGAGCAAGCTCACTGTTCACAATGCGTGAAGCATGAATGTATCTCTGAGGGGAACGGACTGTCTTAAGAAACAGTTTAGATGGCATTTTCCTTTCATCTTGCCTCTGTATAATAATGCATTTAGTTAATAATAATAATAATAATAATAATTGTTTTGTTTTATTTCAGAGTCTGTAAACCCAAAGAGGAGAAAATGAAGAGTTCAGATGCAAAAGCCTAAGTGCCATCTGAAATTTTCTTCTAAAATTAGCATTTTTTATCAGGCTCCTATATTTAGGTTCAGTTATTTCACTTTAATGGCATAGAAAAGGACCTATACATTGCCATTAAAGTAAAATGACTGAACCTAAACATAGGAACCTGATAAAATAATGCTAATTTTAGAAGAAAATTTCAGAAGGCACTAAGAGGCTTTTACATCTGAACTCTTCAAATACATTAGCAGGCAGAGCAAGCTCACTGTTCACAATGCGTGAAATATGAATGTATCTCTGAGAGGAACTGACTGTCTTAAGAAACAGTTTAGATGGCATTTTCCTTTCATCAGTATAATGCATTGTGTTTACAGCGGTAATCAAGGAAACAATGCATCACTGCTGTTCCTTACGCGCCACCTGCTGACAGAGAGTGAATTTGCATTTTTATTCAGCCCATCTGCTGTTTGGGATGTTTTGTGTAGCCTAATTTCACAAAGCTAAAGTCAGACCATTCTGTTTTTGCTTCAGGTTTTGAAATTATACAGTCTAATGTAGATCAAAATATAGGCTAATAAAGCAACTAACCATATTCTTCATGCACTCATATTTTCATTCTTTCTTGTCTTTTGCTTAAATAAAATACATTAAAAATCAGTATTGGATTCTAAAAAAAAGTTAAGATCAGTGCATCCCTAAATTTACGAATGTTTGAAATGAAGAAATTAAGATTGAAATGTTAGTATTGTAGCTGCCTTTGGACGATAAAGTTCTCTAATTTAAATAGCTAGCTGATTTAATGCCAGTTTATTTATTTTTTGTGCAACCGTCTTATTTATTTCATGTGTAATTTGTTTTATGTCATAAAGCTATGCCATTTCTGTGTGAATGATCGGTGGTGGAATTGGCTGTGATGCAAGGGGCACCGGCTAAAATCTTGCCTAGGGCACCAAATTGGTTAGGGCCGGCCCTGCTAAGACCTGAGGACAGGTGAGGTGACTGATGGCAAAAGGGAGGTTTAATATCATTAAATCATTGCTTTTAAGAATTTCATTTTTATTTTGTTATTGTTTAAACATTTCCAGTTTTCTAACTCAGTGTTCGGAACACACAGTTTCGTACATCTCTGACTCATTCTTGAATGCTCACAAAAGAGTTCCAGTCCACAGTCAACTAGAGTAAAATTAGTAATGTCTTTTCTAGTTTCCTCTTACATACACATATATATATATATATATACTCATGTTTTGCACTTTTTTATCAGTAAAAGAATGACTGCAGCAAGAGGTTTCCAGGTACCTCTAGGAAAAAACAACAACGATTACTTGAGTATGTTTTACAGGAAAATATTATTTCAGTCTGTCTACTTGAAAATTTCACTTTTAATTCTTTTAAAAAAGATTTTTTCTCTGTTTTGGAGGGATGAACACTTTTAAATTATACCATATTTATTGTATCAAAATTAGTTAAAGGGGTCATATGATGCGATTTCAAGTTTTCCTTAAATAACGATCTTTAAAATAGCATCATATGAGCCCTTTAATACTTTACTATATAGGTTAGGGGTGAATAATTTTATCAGTTTATTATTCATGCAACAATAGGGTGATTTCAGGTAAAGTGGGCCACTTTTTGTAAAACGTATAATTTAGATGTTTTTTTTTCTTTTCTTTTCCTTATTACTTCTGTTAAATTTAAGGTCCAGCTATAATATTTCAATTTGAATACAGTTCATGTAAAGTGTTATTTGCAAGCTATAGGCCTATACCAATAAACATTTTGAGATCATGCACAAATTTCTTAACTTTAAGGTCCAGCTATAATATTTCAATTTGAATACAGTTCATGTAAAGTGTTATTTGCAAGCTATAGGCCTATACCAATAAACATTTTGAGATCATGCACAAATTTCTTTTCAGGTAAAGTGGGCCAGCTGGTCTGGTAATGTGGGCCATACCTTATCAAATAAAATATTCTGCATCTTAATTAAAAACCAATGATATATTAACACATATATTCAGACAGACATTTTTAACAACATATTTAACAAACCCAAAATTATATAATCTATAGGTTATGAGTAAAACAAATCATGTGTAAATCCTCATCTCAATTCATGTGTCTTACTCCAAACAACTGAAAAGAACATGTTGTGTTGGCATTAAATTTGATGAAATCTGAATATCAGGATATTCAGAAACCAGTATATTGATAAAAAAGAACTCTACAATATATAAAAAATGTGACTATAACACAAGCAAGAATAAATAGGCTAAAAAAATAATAATAAGAGGAACATTTAAAATGATAATGTCAAATCTTTATCTGTCTATGTTCTTTAAACACTTTAAAAGAACTTTAATTGTGTTCATATTTTAAGATTTATATTCTGCATCTACATTTTGCTCCTCTCATACTTTCTTCACTCCACAGGTTAACTTCATGCCTTGCCTTCCTTTTTATTCTCTCGTTCCTTTCTTCCATCTTTGACTTGAATTTCCTGACTGCAGTCTCATTGTTTTCTAAAAAAGTAAATTATACGTCAACTATAAAATAACCAGTGAATGTTAATTTATTTAATGAATTTGAGTATAATTACTGAAACTTAAAGGTCGGCCCACTTTACCTGAATCCTCCTGGCCCACTTTATCTAACACATTCAGCCAAAGTGGGCCAGCAATATTTAAACACCTTACAAGAAAACTAAAATTTGTTTTTTTGTTTAATTTTATTCTTTGCATTTTATTCCCTGTTAACTGTAGTAACAAACAAAGCAGGAACTGTCCCAGTAATATGTGTATACTGTTATAGTTTTCATTAATAACCATTGCAATATAGATGATAACTTTGTCTAGTGCTCTTATGTTTTTTTGCATGACTTTGTGAAAATGTAACTATACTGAATGAAATAGCATAGACTTCTTCATGTTTGGTGTTTGCATATTTCCTTTCATTCTGTAACCTACTTGTTCTACTGATCTGTGTACTAGTGCTAAATGCTGCTGTTTTTGATAACGTCTCTGACAGATAATATCATGTTGTTTTTTGCATTTGCCTTGCCAAATGTGGTATCCTGTCAACGATAACCTATCCGTGGGC